TTTACCTGAATTCCACAGTGCACGTTTCTAAGTTCTCCTTTATGAACAAAAAGTAACATATTGCGTGTGCTCCCTCCTAACTGTGGATACGGCGGCCCTTAAGGGAAAGAGAGGCTTTGGGGACTGGAGCTCCCCAGGGAGCCTCATTATGCCTGTGTCCAACTTCGTAGGCTCCACAGAGAGCCCTCGGCAGAGCCTGAGGGTCCACAGGTGCCCGTGTTCTGGACAATGCCTCGAACACAAGCAGCACGCCCTGGCTAACAGAGGAGCACAAATGCCTGCAAGTCTAGGGATAAGGCGGGGCCTTACGGGACACAAATATTTTTGTCCTCATTTTCTCACAGATCCATAATATAATTCAATTTCTCTTTTTTTTTTTGTACCGGGGATGGAACTCGGGACCTTGCGATTGCAAGGCAGGTGGCAGAACCACTAAGCTAAATCCCCGGCCCTTAATTTCTCGTTTTTAATGCAAGAGAGAAACACCTCTCCTAGGACTTCCATTTGGTTTTACAAACAAATTTTTTTTTGGTACCGGGGTTTGAACTCGGGTCCTTGTGCTTGCAAGCAGGCGGCCGTCAAAAATGTTTTAGTTTGAAATTGTAGGAGACAGTTTTCCGTGGATTGTTTGTATTCCTGCACGTCTTCTGAAGAGAAGGGTAAGGCGGCACCCTGTGCTATCAAGGGAGTCGTGTTGTGAGCAGCTTTGGACAACAGAAAGAAAATAACCTGCAGTCTAGATGCATCTGCCCAGAAAAGCAAACACCAAGAAGAAAATGAAGTTACTTTCAACAGTTAGAACCAAACTGAGCTTACCACCTGCACTAGAGGGATCTCCCGACAGGCGTGTTTCAGGAAGGAAGGTTCCAGCAGGAAGAACCCAGGGGCAGGAAGGGCCGGGGCCCGGAGAGAAAGGTGAGGACACCAAAGGGAGCAACGGCAACAGTACTGTGTTGTTTTTTAGTCTCAATTTCATTCATCGCTACTCTGATCTTCATAATTTCTTCCCTTGTGCCAACTTTGGATTTGGATTGTTCTTGTTTTTGTAGAACCTGCGGTGCATCATTAGGTTATTGATTTGGGCTTGAGCTGTTTTTCTGATGTGGACATTTATAGCTATCAGTTTCCCTCTGAGGACTGCTCTCATTGTGTCCCATAGGTGCTGGTATGTTGTTTTGGTATTACTGTTTAATTCTAGGAGCTGTCTGATTTCTTCCTTGATTTCTCCTCCGACCTATTGATTATTCAAGACTGTATCTTTGATCTCCATTTATTTGCATGATTTTTGTGGTTTCTTTTGCCATTGATTTCTACTTTCATTGGACTATGATCTGATAGTATCCATGAAATAATTTTGATTTCTTTTGTATTTAGTAAGCATTGCTTTATGGGCTAGTATGTGGTCTATTTTAGAGGAAGTTCCATGTTTTATTGAGAAGAATGTGTATCTTGTTGTTGGGCAGAAAGTTCAGCAGACATCTCTTAAGTCTCTTTGCTAAAAGGTTGCGGTTTAGTTCTGATATTTCTTATTGATTTTTTTATCTAGTTGATCTATTTGGAATAGTGGAGTATGGAGGTCCCCACTAACTGTGCTGTTGCTTGCTGGATCTTTTATGTCCAGTATTTTTTATGAAGGTGGGTGTACCAGTGTTCAGTGCATACATATCTGTAATTGTTATCTCTCCCTGTTGAATTTTCCCCTTAATTAATATGTGGTGACTTTCCTTGCCTCTTCTGATCAGTTTTGGTTGGCAGTCCACTTTCTGAAAACAGGATGGCTGCTCCTGCTTGATTTCTGGCTCCTGTTGCATGGAATATTGTTTTCCATTCTTTGATCTTTGGGCTAGGATTTTCTTTTTCAGATTAACTGTGCTTTTTATATTCAGCACACTGTCACTGTTGGGTATTGAATTGTGATCCAACCCATCAATCCAAGTCTTGGCTAGAGAGTTGGAAACATAGACACTGAGAGTTATTACTAAACAGTATTGCCTTATTCCTGTCATTGCATTGTTTTCCTGCTGCTGACACCTTCTATATTCCCTTCTGCTTAACTGTTCACCCTAACTGGTACATTTATTTCACTAGACTTTTTGGGATTTGGGGCTTCATTGTCTCTTTGTAGGATATCCTTGAAATTTTTTTTGGAGTGCTGTTTTGGTGGTCTAAATTTCTTAAGGTGTTCTTTGTCATGAAAAAAACTTACTTCTCCATCAATTTTGAAGCATAGTTTTGCAAGCTATATTCATGTGATTGGGAAATTGTTTTCTTTTAGGGCTTGAAACATTTCACTCCAAGTGATCCTGGCCTTTAAGTCAGAAGGAATAAATCAGAGTAGAATTAATGAAAGAGGAAAATAAGGAACAAAGTTGAAAGTTGCTTCTTTAAAAAGACAAATGCAATTGTAACAGCCAGCAAGAGTACCAAAGAGATAAAGAGAGAAGGGAAAAGCTAACATTAGAAAGGAGAAAAAGAATGTAACTATGGATTATGAGTTGAGTTGTGTCCCAATAGATATGTTCATGTCCTAACTCTCAGGACCTGTGAATGTAACTATACCAAGAAACAGAGACTTGCGGCTGTAACTGAGCTAAGACGAGGTCATCAGGGTGAGCTCCAATCCCATGACTGGGATCCCAGTGAGAAGAGCAGAAGAGGCCAGGTGTCAATGAAGGGAGGCCACCGCACGGAGATGAAAGCAGAGATACAGGAGGTGATGCATCTGTGCCAAGGAATGCCAGAGTTTGCCAGCTCCTGGCAGGAGCTAGGACAGAGGCGGGGTGCTCAGAGCCCCTGAAGGGCCGGTGCTGTCCGTCATCACTGTGATTTCGGGTTCCCAGCAACTGGAACGATGGGGCAGTGCAGGTCTGCTGTAAGCCATCCAGTGTTTGGACGTTGTTATAGCGGCCTGGGGAATGAGTATACTACTGACAGCAGGAATTAAAATGCAGTGGAAAAAGAATATGTTCATTTATTACCAATTTCAAAACTTCAGTGAAAAGGACAGACTGCTACTGAAATGATATTGCCAAAATTGTACTAGAGGAAATGGAAATTCTGTATATGACCATTTAAAACCATTAAATGTGGATAATAATCATCTCCCAAGAGAATATCAATCCCAGATGATTTTATAGGTGAGATATTTTGAGCACTGAAGAAAAAGATAATTCTAGTATTATTTCACTTCTAATATTGTTTCTAGTATTATTTCTAGTATTATTTCACTTCTATAGACTGGGAGGAAAGGGAACATTTCTTAGATCATTCTATGAGGACAGCATAACCTTAATACCCAAGTCAAGCATAGTTGTAGGAGGGTAAAAAAATCATAGAACCATTCACTAACAAACATGTATGCAAAAATTCTAAACACAACCTTAACATATTGACATTAGCTACAATTAAAAAGATAGTCAATTACGTCTGAGTTGAATTCATTCTGCAAATACACAGTTCATCAGCATTAGGAAATGTATAATTGTTGTTCACAGAATGGTTCATTAAAAGCAGCAAACTGCGTGGTCCCCTCAATGAAGGTAGAAAGCATTTAATAATGTTCAATATTTGCTTATGATAGCAGCTCTTGCTCAACTAGAAGTCAAAGGTGACTTCCATAACCTGGTAAGAGTTTCTGTACATGTACGGTTGCATGAAAGGGCCTGCATGCCTGTCTCTTCTCTTCTTCTCTCTTCCCTTTTTTCCTTCTTTTTTCTCTCACCTCCTCCTCCATTCTCCTTTTCTCTCTCTCTCTCATGCAATTATAATTACTACATATTACACATTAAATATTAAACTTTCCCTCTGGGTAGTAATAAGCTACAACTGTTTGTTCCCATTGTTTTTATTCAATTGTGCTCAAAGTTCTAGCCAGTACAATAAGAAAGAAAAAGAAATGAAAGTTATAAGGAATGAAAAGAAACACAACTACTATCTTGGCAGATTGTCTGATTATCCACACAAGTGACCTAAAGTATTTTTCAGTCAAATTACTAGGAAGAAGAGGAAAGTTTATCAAAGCAAGATGAAAGACTGCTTTAAAAAGTTAATTTTTATGCACCATCAAAATCCAGACAATTTAAATAAGATAATGCAAGGGCAACAAAAACTAAGATTAGAGGAATATTTAACAGATGAGCAAGATTTTTATGAGGAAACATGTAAAACGTTACCAAAATTAACACACCTCATTTGGAATGCCCAAATAAATATAGAGAAAACATAGCCAGGTGTGGTAGTGGATCCCTGTAATCCCAGCCACTTGGGAAACTGAGGCAGGTAGATTGCAAGTTTGAGTCAAGACTGGGGCAAATTAAAAGAAAAAATAGAAAAAGCTAGGGTATAGCTCAGATCTCCACAGTGGGGGAGGGGCAGGGAAGGAGAGGGGAGAGAGAGGGAGAGAATAGAAGGATGGATTTGGATAGAAGACTCATAGTGTGCCAGGGTGAATTCTCCTAATTTTTATTTATTGTTAAATTCTGTGGAATTGCAATAAAAATCCCAGAAGTTGTATTATTTCTTTTCTTTTGGTGGGATGTGGCAATCTGACTCCAGAATTTATTTGAAGCATAAAAGAGCAGAAATAACTGAGTAACTATGAAAGTCAAGGAGATGCCAGGTGTAGTGGCACAGGGCTATAATCCCAGCACTCTGGGAGGCTGAGGCAGGAGGGTCACAGGTTCAAGCTCAGCCTGGGCAAACTTAGTGACTTAGATCCTGTTTCAAAATAAAATTTTTAAAAAGTGATGGGGATGTAGCTCAGTGCAGAGGGCCTGGGTTTAATCCCAAGTACAATGCATACACATGAGTCAAGGAGAGGAATTATCCAATCAGACATCAAGACTTACTAAAAAGCTGTAGTAATTAAGATAACTGGTACTGATAAAAGGGACAGACAAATGAACCACACATAATAGAGTCCAGAAACGACTCACATCTATTCAGAAAGGTGATAGAAGACAGATGATATAGTCAATACATGGTGTAGGGACAAAGGTTTCCCATATGAAACAGTGTCTTTTCCTTACACAATATGTGTATCCAAATACACACAAAAGTTTTAGATGAAATAGCATTTAAGTACAAAAGCTGAAACTTCGAAGTTTGAGGGTGTTGCTTAGTGGCAGAGTTCTTGCTCAGCATGAGCAAAGCCCAGAGCTCCATCCCCAGCACCAAAAGGCAGAGCAAAACACAAGAAAAACCATACACTCCTTAAAAGAAAACACTGACATTGATTGAATTCCAGATACAGAAGGGTTTTATAAACAAAACAGAATATGCAAAACAACAAAAAGGAATGGACAGGTAATTTGGACCATGTTAAAATGAAGAACTTCCGGTCACCAAAAGTCACCATTAAAGGAGCAAAAGGATAGAGACTGAGAAATGATGTTTAGGTAGCCAAAAGGGAATAATATTACAGGTGCATGCCTGTGATCCCAGCACTTGGGAGGCTGAGGCAGGAGGATCATCATGAGTTCAAGACCAGTCTGAACCGTGTAGCAAGATCCTGTCATAAAAAAATTTAAAAATCCACCAAATCACTAAGAAAAACACAACAGGAAAATGATCAAAAGATACAAACAGGAATTTTACAGAACAGTAAAGATGAACAAAGGAGGTACTGCTGGGGTGTAAAGCACTTGCCTAGCATGTGCGAGGGCCTGAAGAGAAAGAAAAAAGAAAATGGAAGGGAGAGAAATGGCATAAAAGATCCTGGCAGAAACTTCCCAAAGAAGAGATCTGATTTGCAAAACAGTATTTGACCGTGCTTGATGTCATCCGTCATTAGGAACGTACAAGTTGAAGCATTCTAAGATGGCTCTGCATAGCGGGTAGAACAGTTAGCACTGGAAGGAATATGAGCAGTGCTTGGTGAGAATATGCGGCACACCGGGGACACGGGTACACAAGCTGAGGAAGCAGTTTGGCCTGTGCTTGTTCAGTTTAACACTTTTGGAGCCTGACCTGGCACCCTCCCTCTTGGCATTTATCCTCATTTTTGTGAGGGAGTCTGCCGCAAAGCCGGCACAGGCACACGAGTGTTCTGGTGGCTCCATCCCTAATGGCCGAGCACTGAGAACAACTGCGATGGCCGTGCGTGCGGGGCAGGGACAAGCGAGTGCGTTCCTGGGCAGTCAGGCGTGGGCTCCGGGTGAGCAGCAGGAGCGCTGCGGCAGAGGGAGCCACGCTCGGGCGCCCTCCACTGTGCGGTCCCGTGTGCAGGAGCTGCTGGAAGAGACGCAGGTAGGGCTCAGGAAACCCCAGTGCCTGCCGAAGCCAGAGCACGGGAGCAGACCCTCCCCAAAGGGACCTAGACCCTCCTGGGGGCCGAGGCCCACGTTACAGGTAACAATGGGCTCAGGGGCACAGAAACCGCTGGCTTCAACCTCTCGTCATCGTGAGCCCTGGGTTCGGGAGGCTCCACTCACTCCGAAGATCTTTGCCTCCGCTCCTGCCACCCAGAGGCGGTGGTAGCAGCGCCTCAGGAGCCCATCCTCCTACTCCGCTCTTCCAAACGTGCCCCTGACACCTGGCCACGCGCAGGGCCGAGTCTGTGCCTGAGCACCCCCGGAGCCCGGCCTGGCTGCCTCCGTGTCTCGGGTTCCTGCCCCCTTGGCAGCACGAGGTTGCCCCTGTCCCCTTCACGGGAGAGGGACCGAAGGCCGTCCTAGGCCCTGCGGGGCCTCAGCACTGCGACGCCCGCGGCCCTGGCCCTGAGCCTCACTGAACAATGACCACGACACTTGGTTCATACTCGGTGCTCACCAGTTTTGCTTTTTAGATCCACAAAAAAGACCCGGGAGCAGGAAGATAAGAATAGTCCTGAGCTCACAACGCGACTGCGGCTCCTCTGAGGTCTGAGATTTCCTATTTCTGGTTATTCTGTTGGGCTTCCCAGACGACCACATACCTGAGCCAGAGCAGTACTTAAACTGTTTCGTCCTTTGTCCATGTGACGCCCATGCTGACCCTGTGGTAGACATCGAAGTTTCTACTTGGTATGTGAATTAAGGACCAAAATGAACAAAGGAGCGGGACGGGGTGGCTGAATAATACCAGCGGTTAGAACTGGTCCCGTGGGGAAGAGGGGATGCAGGGGCACTCGGGCGTGGGGCAGAGCAGGTCCGAAGCTGCGGGTTTGGATCTCAGCTCTGCCACTGAAAAGCTGGGACCTCTCTTATCCCTGACGCCCCTGAGACGCAGATGCATTGCTACCTCTGGGAACCCGACCCCGAGCAAACCTACAGCACCATTAGGGGAGGCCGGCCTGGGGTCCAGTGTCACCCTATGCGGGCTCGGTGACCGCGGTACTTCACTGTGCCAGCAGGGACAGCCTGGGGCCACCTGGTCAGGGAATGCTCCCTCGGGAAGAGGTGGCAGCAGCTGTGTGCCAGCGGCAGGGTGGGGCGGTCATAGGGGGCGTGCACCCTGAGCGTGGGCTGGGGTGGAGACGCGGATCCCAGTGAGGACGCAGCTGAAGCCTTGGTCTATTTTGAGGCTTCAAGACCTTCCACGGGACCATATGTCTCCTCTGTGACTCTTGATGGAGGGAGGGAGGGATGGTGACACGGGGGTGGGCGGGAGGAGAGACAGCCGGGGAGCCCACCCTGCCCCCGGGCTCTCCCCTTGGACTCCGGCCTCCTGGCAGCACCTCCGGAGCCCAGATTTGCCGTCTGTGAAATGGGGGACTGATGCTCGCAGCTGACCGTTCGTCCCTCACCGGCTGAGTAATAACGGTCAGGACAGAGCTGTACGAACGTGCAGGCTCAGCGAGAATGAGGCTTCCTGGGGCGTTGGCGACGGGCGGGGAAGCACCTCCGAGCCCTTCCTGCCGCTGAGCCCACGGGCCCCGCAGCGGAGGGCAGGTGCGCCTCCTCCCACGTCACCGAGATCACGCGGACGCCACCTAGGGTTAACAGGCTTTACTTCACAGAGGCAGAGATGTCCGGAGAGCCCAGAACCGAGCCCTAGGAGCCACATGGCTGGCCCCGCCCAGGAGGGGCCCGACGAGACAGCAGCAACCTTTTTCTCAGGAGGAAAGCCTGATCCTGTGAGGCCTGAGGACACCCACGGCCCACCCTGACAGCCTCCCAGCGCCCGGCTGGGCGGAGCCTGCTGGTCCCCCGTAGGCGCAGCAGGTGAAAGGCACTTCGGTACTTTCCCTGCTAGACGGGGCTGGGGGTTTCGGGGTGCAGCATGATCTGAGAACGTGTGTGCGCGTGTGCACGTGTGTGGGGGGGATTTCAAGAAGGGGCAATACTGTTTTTTATATGCAACTCTTCCTTTTTTCTTTTTCCCCAGCAAACCACAGAGCAGCTCCACATTCTTTGGCAGTTTCCTGAGAATGAACTTCATATTTTGAAACGGGAAAAAAGGGGGGTAGGAGTTGGGGAAGAAATGAAATAGAAAGTAATCGCTGCCCTTGTGCAAGCACCCCTCCACACACGACTCCAGACACTAAGGAAGTGAGACGAGATCTTTTTCATGAATGGCTTAGCTCAGCCTTTGCAGAGCTCCTCTCTCCCATTCAGCACATTCAGGCCTCACCTCTGAGGGTCTGAGGCACTGGCTGATGGCCCAGGGACAGAGCAGCCTGAGACCGCAGGCGACTGTGTGCGCACAGGGGCCTTCCCTGCAGCGACTGCAGGTCTGAGGTGGGGCTCCGGGCCGGACCCCGGGGAGGCCCAATTCCAGCAGGCTGCCCTGCTCCTGCAGGCTGCACAGGACCCAGCCTGACGGAGACCTGGGGAATGCTAATGCGGCCTGCAATTGGGTTGGAGAGAGCTGTAGGGTCCTCCCCACAGGGGCTGTGGGGCCATTAGCTAACTGTGGCGCAGCTGCAGGTGGGAGCTGGGTGAGGAGTGGTAGCAGCAGAAGCCTGGGTTCCCGGGACCTGGGCAGTGGAAAGGCAGCTGGAGGACCTTGATTTCATTTTGCTGTGTTTCTGGGCCCTCAAGGGTCAGACGGGGAGATGGGGCTCCCCAGGGATGGGCCTGGGCTGTGGCCACATCTCCTGAGAACCCACAAAGCCAGTATACCCTCAGGAGGAGAGGGGCTGGCTGCTCCTTGGAGCTCCAGGCCTGGCTGTCACAGACAGGTGGCCCAGGGGAAGGAGGCTGTGGGAGGAGGACAGGGGACCCAAGCTGAGACCAAGGAAGGAAGTGCCTGAGACCCCACCTGGCACTGGTCTCTTTCCCCCTGTCCTGCAGCCCCTCCTGGCAGGGACGAGGGGACATCACTTCCGTCCCCTCTCAGTGCGCCTCCCGGCCCTCACCCTCGGCCACAGGGGATCCCCACACACCGGGCCAAGGCAGGGCACGGATGAGTGACCTTCAGAGTGCTTCCCCACTTCCGGCCGGGAGTCCTCCCCGAAGGCTGAGCCAGGGCAAGGCCGGCAGCCGCATCCAGCTCTTTGCAGCTACTGGGCCCAGCTCTGGGCGCTGGGAATGGACTCGGAAATACCAGTGGGCTTTGTTTGGGTTGTTAATCACAGCGAAGGAATGATGTCCATTCCTCTGGACTTTCTAGGAATTTGCTTGCAGCTGGAGTGTCCTGTTCCAGGTCCCCTCGCTAGGAGCCGGGCTGCAAGCAGAGGCCTGGCCTCAGGGAGGGGGTGTGCAGCTCTTGGTGCTGCAGGTGGGCACCCGGGGGAGACCAGGCCGGGGCCCTCTGCTGGGTGCTAACTGGGGCGGCTGCTGTCTGCCCTCCTGGCCTCTCTCACTCTCAGGAGCAGGAGGGAGCTGAGAGTCTCCAGTGCCACTTAGGAGGGACGAAATCCAGGCGGCAGTGATGGAGGAGAGGCCCAAGGGCAGCTCTTCGCCAGGCCCGCAGAGGGCTGCCTTCCCCAGCACAGGCCGGGGCCTGCTCAGCTCTCCCTCCTGTGCCTTCCTGTCGCCCTGTTGACAAGGAGGAAACGGAGCCCTGGAGAGAGCAGGAAGTTGCTCCAAGGCTCTGCAGTTAGCAGACAGCAGCCCTGGGGGTCAGGTCCATTTCTGCCCGGTTTCGGTTTCGCAGAGCAGGGTTTAGCTACCACCTTGATTTCTGTACATAGTTTATTAGCTCAACTTTGGTGAGAACCCGAGGTTAAGTGCTCCCCGAGGGTAAAGACAATCTCTTACTTTCTTCCCTCTTTATCTCTACAGTTACCAGGAACGCATTTCACAAGCAGCTGCTAGAACATGCTGGGATGGGGCCTGGAGGCTCCGGGGCAGGAAGGACCCCCAGTCTGCAGCAGCACCGCCTCCAGGCCTGCTGCCGGGCCTGGCCTCTCCAAAACCTACAGGCTTGCCCTCTGGAGCGCCTCTGCACCCCCAGCGCCTTGTGTTCAGTGCTGCAACCAAAGGAGTGGTCCTTTGCTTGCTAGTGGAGTTAGTGCGTTTCTTTTTAGCTTTCTTGCCTGTGCCACTCTTGTGTTTTCTCAGCGGCTCCTGGCTTCCTCCCTCTCTGAGCTCCTGGGCCAGCTCACACAGCCTCACGGTCAAATCCCCTGAGAGGGCCTCGGAGGGGCCGGGGCCCAAGCCAGAGACCCCTGCTGCTCAGCCTAGGCTGGGGTCCAAGGCCTCGTGGCAGCCTGGCAGGGGAGCAGGCTCCTGGTCCTGCTAAGGACCTCCCTTCCCTTCCCTCCTTTGAATAATTGTGGTTTATGCACCCGAAAGTTACATTAATCTTTACAAATTAACACAGAAAGAACACAAGAAATAGCGAAAACTTGGAAGCAGCTCAAGTGCCCGTCAGCTGGAGACTGGGTAAAGAAAATATGTTTTGTTTTGTTTTTATAAAATGGAGTACTACTCAGCCATAAAGAATGAGAAACTCGAGTCATTTATAGCTAAATGGATGCATTTTGAGGCCATACTCTTAAGTGAAATAAATAGGACACACATGTGTAAATACGAATAGTTTCTCTAGTGTGAGAAACAAAGTGTAAATAAGGATTAAAATGAATAATTGATAATGTGAAATAAGAAGAAAAGGTCCAAAGGGGTAGGGCAAGTGGGAGGGGAAGGGGAAAGGAAAGAAGGGAATGGAATTAATATGAGAAAATGAAAAACTGGAAACAAAGTCTCTGTAAATAGGGATGGATGGAAGGGTTGAAGGGAGGTCAGAGGAATGGGGAAAAAATAAGAACCAAGAGAGATTAAGTAAAGGTGCAAATTTCCAATGATGAATGCCATTATATTGTATGCCTAAAATGTACCAATAAAATAAAATTAAAAAAAAAAAGAAAGAAAGAACACAAGAAGAAAGGTGCAGCTGGAGGGGCTTTTCATAGGACTTTATAACTGTGAGTCCCTCAAGGCCACAGCACAGAGCCTTTCTGGCCGAGGGCCTCCTGCTGCTCCTCCTCCTCCTTCTCGGCATCCTCCTTCTCCTGCTTTACACTTTCCATTTGGTTTTCTTTGCTGTGCTGGGAGGGTACCCATAGCCTCGTACCTGGCAAGTGCTCCACCACTCAGTTACACCCCACGATTAAATAAAATCCTTAGCATGATATCTAATATAGAATTTCTTGATTTATGCATATATATATATATGTATTTGTTTGTTTGTTGTTTTTGAGACAAGGTTTCAATATGTAGTTCAGACTGGCCTTGAACTCTCTGTGTGGCCCACACTGCCTCAGACTCACAGTGATCCTCCTGCCTCAGCCTCTCCAGTGCTGGGATTACAGGAGCACACACCATGCCTGGGCAAATGCTAATATTATTAACATCTTTGCCACTCATTATGGTTGCTTGAAAGGGATAAAAACAATAGCCCTGTGATGATATTACTGTGAACCTCAGTGAGAACAAACTGGCTCAGGAGCAGGGTGGAACTGGGAGGCAGCCTGTAGCTGCTCTCAGCAGCCACATGGCCAGGGGCAGGGTGGTGCCCAGGGCTCCGGGGGCCTGGTCTCCACCACACAGTGGCCCTCCAGCTCCCACATTTCCTGAGTTTGGTCTGCACAGAGTGGGGTCCCAGGCAGAGCCTGTGGGCCCTGCCCTCCCTGGGAGGACAGGTTGCTGGTGCCCAGTGGCAGTGACCACAAGGAGGTTCTTAGCATAGCCTCTAAGGACCTGGAGCCCAGAGCCGGGCCCTCCCTCTGTTCTCGGCTGTCTGCTCCACCTGCCACAGGGTTTCAGTCGCTCAGGCAGCCGGGCCGATCTGCAGGCCCAGTGGTCTCTGCTGACCTCCAGCTACTGGAGCCCTGGCTTCCACTGTCTTCCTCCGCCTGCAGCTGTTCTCGGCTCTGCAGAAACAATGCTGACTTCCATGACAAGAATGTGTCACAACTGACTCTTTCAATGCAGAAAAGTATTTCAGGTTGACTGATAGGCTTGTCCAAAAGCATTCTCTGGAACATAAAATAGTGATAAAGAGCCCAAAACGGTGTCTGACAGAGTGAAGGATTCAGTGAATGTTGGCTCTTACTATTACGATCTCTGGGAGTTAGGAGATTAAACTAATGGTGCCGTCCAAGCTCCATCATGCTTCTCGGGCAGTGCAGAGCCTTTTCCTCTGGGAATTCTTCCCACTTACCTTGGCTTCCGTTCATCTCTGTCACTCGCTTGCTCATTCATTCACCAAACCCTCTTCAGTGCTTCGGGCTCTAGGTGTTGACTATCTCACAACTAGCGACAGACAAGAGCCCTGACCTTAAGAATTTCACACTCTGGTGAGTGGACCCGACGGCTGACAACTTACATTTTCTTACAATTTTCAGTCAGATATCTACTGAGCACCTACTGTGGGCCAGATATAGTTTTCAGGACAAAGGATGCCACGATTATGACCATTAATCGTGGCGCGTCAACTTGAGTGGATTAGGAAACGCCTGGCAGATTGGTAAAGACAGTTCTGGGCGTGTCTGTGGATGACTGACATGTTGGTCAGCAAACTGAGGGGAGACCCCCGGATGTGGGCAGCACCAACTAGTAGCTGTGTAGCTGGATGACATAAAGAGAGAAGGAAGGAAGGTTTCGCATGTTGGGTGGCTCCAGTCTTCTCACCACCCGTGGTGCGGTTTCTTCAGCCTTCCAACAGTGCGTTTCCAGGCCCCAGGCCTTGGATGGGGCGGTGCCCTCCATCTGGCCGTCCTCTTGGATTGCTCTTCCTGGCTGACCGTCCAGCTCTTCAGCATGCATGTACCCAGTGTGGATGCTCCTGCCTCTGCGCCCACAGGTGGCCTGGGCCTGTCCCGCCTCTGCTTAGTGCATCCGCTGGCACGATTATCCATTTGTCTTCTACCGAATGTGTTCCTCCAGAGAGCCCTAACGAGTCCAAGGAGGAACAGGACAAGCAGTGCTTCTCAGCCTGCAGAGCCTCCCTGTTAGCGGACAGCCAGCCATAATGATCTGAACAAAGGACCAGAAAACAGGATGCTGAGCGTATGAGGACCAGGGGCCTGCCAGGGGTGATGTGGGAGAGGAGAGGGTGCCTTGTTGAGGGAACTGATGTCCATAATTTCTGGAAAATACAAGTTGTGACCCCCTGTCCTGGCAAAACATGGCTGCAGCACTGGTGGCCTCCCGGACCGGCTGGCCTGCGGGAAGGCTCTGTGACTCCACAGCCTGCCTGTCTGCATGCTCCTGACACCCCGCCGGACACCACCTCTGCTGTGGGGGCCTCTGAACCAGCATTAGCAGGGAATCGTAAAGCTGCTGTTCCCTTGAACGAAGACACTGAAAAGTGCCACTAAGAAGGCCCACACCAGCGCCCAGCCTGCCTTCTCCCCCCGGACACACTGTCTGGCCAGTTCGACCGCGGAGCCCGGAGAGCTCCTCGGAAGGAGGGCAGCGCTGTGCCTGCACCACCTCCTACCCACCCCACCCGAGTGTGCGCAGCAGCCAGCGGTCTTGGAGAACACGAGATCCAGAACTTGCAGCCCAAAGCCGGCCTGGGGCTCACAGCTGTCATCCCAGCATCCAGGAAGCTGAGGCAGGGGCGGAAGTTCAAGCCCACCCCGGGCAACTGTCTCAAGATATAAAATACAAGATGTTCTTGGAGTCCAACTCACTGCGGAGATTCAATCCCTAATACCACAATAGTAACAAGGAAAGAAGAGGAAAAGTGCAGCCTACATAGGGCCCTGCCTGGGCGTGGAGACAGCCGAGGGCCCCCGGCCAGGGAGTGGGCGCCTCCCACTCAACAAGCTGTGGGGTAAACTGTGGGGTCCCCGCGCGCCATCCTGGGGGCAGAGAACGGATCCCACTGCTCTGCCCCGCCCTTCTCCCCGCCTCCTTCCCTTCCCCAGGCGCACCCCAGCCTGTGGCTCCGCCTCACTCACAAAACTCCAGCTGCGTAAGCCCCACAGCTTGGCAGGTCCTCCTTTGAGAACTTGTGAGTCACAAGCTGCCCTTTTCGAGTTTCTTTCCCTCTTGTGTCCCTCCAACCTCGCTCCTGCTAACGTGCTGATGACTAACCTAGCTTCCCATCCCTCCGCCCTCTGCTTCCCCTCTCTCGGGTTGGATAAATAGCAGTGTTTCGCAGAAACCACAGAACCCGGGAGCGAGTTCATTCTGACTGGAGATGCACTGGGCTCTCTGGGGGCGCTGCAGGGGGCTTCGTGCCACCAGCTGGCTGGGCAGAAGGGCTGTCCCTGCAGAGGCGGGTCCGTGAGGGGCCACCTCCAGGCAGGTGGGGTCCGCAGGCCACTTCCCTACTTCCCTGCTCCTGGGTGGGTCCTCGCTTCCCGGTCTCCTCCTCCTTTATGATCCCTCTGCTGCCTGGATACCTCAATGTTCACTACATTTCAAAGGGCCTTTGAGTGGAAGTGAGCATTGATTGGTATAATTATTGGGAGCCATTCACACTTTAGTACAAACTGACCAATTTGGCTGCCACTAGCCCAGAAGTTGAGTGGAAATTCCAAGAAGAGGACAAATCCCTCTGTCTCTGTCTCTCTTCTGTCACTGAGCAGAGAAATCTGGCTCAAACACAGCCTCCACTGTGGAAAGGAAGGGGCCACGGGGCGTTGGCCCTTCCCAGGGGACCGTGTGGAGGCTTCAGACGGCGGTCAGTCCCTTGACCTCCCTCGGTCATCACCTTCACATCCTTCTCTGAATCTCAGAGACTCCCCCACATGCCACGCGCTCAGTCTCTGTGACCCACACACAGTCCCAAGGTGGGTGCATCTTTGCCATATTCTTAGGCACATTTTGTGTGTTGTTTGCTTCCCGGGTGTCTGTCTGGTCCCTCCGCAGGGCTGTCCACTCCGGAAGACACTGCCCCTCTTCCCAGTGTCCCGCCAAGCTGAGTTTCAGCACTGCCCATAGGAGGAGGAAAGTTCACCGGTCACGGCTCCAGCGTGGGGACAGATAGGGGAGGAGAAGCCTTTCCAGGTGTGGGTGGAAGAAAGAGTGCCAGCAGGGCTTACCTGGAGTGTGGGAGTGCCCCAGAGGCGGGGCGGCCTGCAGGGGACGTTCAGGCACCATCCACGGCCAGGTTGCGCATTCCGTGCCCGCCCGTCTTCCCTAGAATGGCCTGTTCTCTGGTCCTGCTGGTCTCTCTCAGTGGCCCTTTGTCACTTTCCAAGAAGGGGAAATCCCTGCCTTTCACCCACCCCAAGCCTTGCTGTGTTGCCTTGGGCCCAAAGCACAAATCTCCACTGCTACCAGCGAAGCAGACTAGAAATAGTAAGGAGGACAACACAATTGCCAACGCTTGTCTCCCTGTCGGGTACAGATGTCTGCACAAGGCGAAGCATGGCCTTGGAAACAGCACTTTGGCCCATTTTGGGATATTTTGAATTCCGATATATTGTAGCATAACAATTTTTTTTACCTTTTTTCCCCATTCTTTCCTGGATGACTGTCAAATAGCATATTGTCATCATGCAGCTCTCAGAAAAATACGGTAAAGTG